GGAAGGGGCCTATATGCCTCCAAGGAAGGAGCAGTGAACACTAAGGAGTACAGTAAGTGCCATCTCATGTAAACAGTTGTGTTTGGTTTCATCTCAGAACCAGCCCAAATGTTTACACAGGTCCAAAGTCGCTTTTTGCACTCGTTTCCTGGGGAAAATTTGAACCAACCCGCGATTTTTGTTAATGCAGTTCAGTGCTAATCCAGATCAGGTCTGTACATCTTGCAGCCATCACAAGTTCATACACCCTTTGGTCAGTGTAAATGTGCCTATATAGCCCTGTCTGAGTGTATTTGACTCCCAGATACATACTATGTCTTCCAGACTGCAGTTGAAAATACACTTGTTAAAAAGGAAGTTCACTGTGGGAATGATTTCCGGAAGGACTTCTAAGATTTAAGGCCCTTTCACACACTCCTGTTAAAATGTTTTATTCTGATTCCACTTTAACTGCCATAGTTTTGCTTTATGGGACCCTGGAATTTGCAGTTTAGGTAGGGACATTTAGACTTCTCCATCAGAGAGTTCTAATGCTTCTCTAAACTACAAAGTATCATGGTAGTTCAAGTTGAATTATAGTGCTGTAATTCCATAGTGTGAAAAAACAATTTGGAACCACAATTACATAAATAATTTCAACATTTCAAATCATTTTCACAGTTTAAAAAAAGTCAAGTTTTTTAAATGAGCTTGTATTTAGTTAAAGCAGCCTTGGGATGGGAGGGCAACATATATTTAAGGCCCATTGAGAAACAGGGAGGGAAACGTGTACACATCCCCCCTGTTATGCCAGCTCCACGGCTGCCGGTCCATCTCCGAGCCCAATTCAAAGTGCTGGTTTTGACCTATAAAGCTCTATACGGTTTGGGCCCAGCTTACTTGTCCGAACCCAAGATCACCCGGGGAGGCCCTGCTCTCACTCCCGTCAACAGCGCAAATGCGGCTGGCGGGGACGAGGAGAGCAGGGCCTTCTCGGCTGTGGCCCCCCGCCTATGGAACACACTCCCAAAGGAGGTAAGATCTGCTCCCTCGCTCCTGACCTTTAGAAAAAAATTAAAATCATGGTTCTGGGACCAGACCTTCGGACAATAGATGTATGCAGCATTTAGTGGGACAAGGACTGGAACGGTGACTCGACTGATGGGATTGTTTTATGGTTTTAATAACTGTTTTGATATTTGATGATGTACTGTTTTTAATGTTTTATGTTTAAAGTGTGGTTTTACTGTTGTAGTTGTAAGGCATTGAATTTTTGCCATTATCTATGTGTAAACCGCTTTGAGTGCCCCTCGGAGTGAGAAAAGTGGTATATAACTGCTGTAAAAAAATAAATAAATAGGGGATTCCATATGGTTGGGACCACTACAAGTAAGATCCATAACTGTTGTGCCTGCCAACTTCATAGATTGGTGGACACAATAGCAGAATATGAGTTGAGCCTCTATATGGCAATGAATGTTGAACTCACACACTGGAAAATGAAGATTAAAAGCCCCCCACTGGATGATCTTGGGCACGTTATACTCTAGTAAGCCTGAAAGGAAGTCTAGGCAACCCCACCTCTGAACAAATACTGCCACAAACTCCCATGATAGCTTTGTCTTAGGATCACAGTAAGTTGAAGGCATACAACAGTCAAAACAACAAATTGTGTACAAATCCAGGTTGTTCCTTGAAATAACATTTTAAATATTAAAAAAATACATAACAAGTTTCCAACCATGAGCATAGAGCAAAATGCAGCAACTGTCTGTGAAATCCACTCACATATGAACTATGTCTGAGGGGCCCTCCACACAGCCGTATATCTCAGAATATCAAGGCAGATAATCTACAATAATCTGCTTTGAATTGAATTATCTGAGTCTACACTGCCATATAATACAGTTCAATGTGGACTTTATACAGGTGTGTGGAAGGTGTGTGAGATCATTTTTCCTGATAGGAAAGGTATATCAGTGCAGTTTGAATTGAATGGCAATTTCACAAATGAGATGACTTGATGGGGCAATTTTGGAGGGGTGAAAATGTGTGATGTTGAAACATAAACCTTAGTTGAACCTAGTTCCAGGTTTAAGAGATAAGATGATAAAATGCCATTCAGATAAAATGCTAATTCTGCAGCGTCTACATTACATTGTGGGCCGCTGCATGAAATTTATTTAACATACCTAGTAGCTCTGAGAGGCCCCTTCCACACACCTGAATAAAATCCCACATTTTCTGCTTTGAACTGGGTTATATGGCAGATAACTCAATTCAAAACAGATATTGTGAGATTTTGTGCCTTGATATTCTGTGTTATATGGCTGTCTGGAAGGGCCCTGAGTTGGGGAAACTAACAGGTGGATGGGCTTGATCCAAGCTAGTCAGTAGATTCAGTGGACTCTCAGCCAATGCTAAAGAATGCTAAATGCTGACACAAAACCAGAACCCCAAAATAGATGATTTCCTGTAGTTTTTGGTGTTCTTACTCTCTTCACACTAACATTCAGCCTGTATATATCCTTTGAATATCACAGAAGGGCTTCTCAATAAGTGTGTGTGTGCACCATTTCCGCTATCTACATCCTCCCCACTCTCTCAGTGCCATTACCACAGAGGAAGCTGTTAAAATGAGCAATAAGAGTTTTCACTTCATACATCTTGAGGAGGTAATATTACATCAATAAAAGCTTATGCTTATATTGCATCTTCTTTCTCTCAGTCTCGAAAGTACTGCAAGATCCCTTTGGATACTACTATTCAGACTAACACAGCTCTGTCTTTGAAGAGATTCCATACTTCCCATGTTGTCTCTAGTTTGATCCTGATATTAGCTGGTGGGTAGGGATAGGAAGTACGTACCCCCCTCCATCCCCGTCCAAGACATTCTTGGGCTGCAAGTATCAGCAAGTACTCACTACTGGCTAGTCTGGTTACTGCTATTAGAAGTGTTGCCATCTAGGACCCTTTCCCACTTTATATCTACATCAAATATTTGAAGTAATTCATGTTCAAAAGATAGTCGGAGGGCAGGCAGGAAATTAATGACTCAGCCTATATTTCAATCTGCATCCCCCCCCCAAAAAAAAACTACTTCAGCCTTCACTAATAGAGTATAATATTTAGATTTCAAAGGATTTACTTAGACAAGGATTATATAGAAGTGGTTTTTGCCCATTGATTCCTCTGAAATCCTATAGCACCTGGTTTTCATTGGCGATTTCTCATCAAAGTGCTGACCAGAGCTGGCTCTGCTAACTAAGCTTCAGAAATCAGATTGGACCTGGTCCCTTAGGATAGCTAGGTCCTTCGCTCCTCAAGGCTAAAAGTGTTATTTTTCCTGATATATATTTGGGATGTTGTTGTAGATAAGCCTGTGCCAACTATTTCTGTTCCAAAGTAGAAAATTATTTTATTATACCTCATTTGATATACATAACTATTATTTCTTAAACATCTGATATGCTAGTCATGTCAAAATCTTATTCAAAGACTTTCAGTATTTAATTGTTTGTGCTCTACTGATGGAAAATGCATTGGGTGCTATATTGTCATTTCCACGCTACTCATCTTCCGCTTTTAGCACAGTGTGAAAAGAGAACTTGGCAGTTTTGAAATCTGCTTGTTCTTCCATAGAATGATGAGTCCTTCCTCCTATTATAACATGTATACTTCAGCCTATCCACCAGTAAATTTAATTTCCTTTTAAAATTATTTTTAATTTGATTTTTTTTAGAATTAAACATTTTGGTTAAATAAAAAAGGGCAGATAAATGTATTGAAAGTAATTGTTAAATAACAATGGGGGAATCAGTCGTCTGTGTGTTTGTTGTCTTATCTTTACATTGTTTCAACATATGGTGACTCTAAGGCGAACCTATTGTGGAGTTTTCTTGATAAGATTTGTTCAGAGGAGGCTTGCCATTGCCTTCTTTTAAGACTGAATGAGTTCTTCCAAGGTCATGCAGTGGGTTAAACCCCTGTTCCAGCAGGACTGAAGACTGACAGGTCGCAGGTTTACCATGACACAATTAATACATATATTTGGAACCGTTTTATTCTGTCCAAGCTTTGGTAATTTCTAATAGCAAACTCAGCTCTATATGTGCCTGTGTTCTTAAATAGTCAAAATAATGCTATCCATGTGTTGTCGAAGGCTTTTTTGAAAGTCCAGGGTGGGAGAAAGAACTCTTGTCTGTTGGAGGCAAGCGTGAATGTTGCAATGAATCGCCTTGATTGCAGCTTCAAGGCCTGGTTGATTCCTGCCTGGGGGATTCCTTTGTTGGGAGGTGTTAGCTGGCCCTGAACTTTTCATGTCTGGAATTCTCCTGTTTTCAGAGTGTTGTTCTTTATTTACTGTCCTGATTTTAGAGTTTTTAAAATACTATTTTCTGTTGAAATTGTTCACATGCTTATGGATTTCAATGGCTTCTCTGTGTTGTCTGATATAGTGGTTGTAAGAATGGTCCAGCATTTCTGTGTTCTCAAATAATATGCTGTGTCCAGATTGGTTCATCAAGTGCTCTGCTATGGCTGACTTCTCTGGTTGAATCAGTCTGCAGTGCCTTTCATGTTCCTTGATTCATGATTGGGCAATGCTGCAATTGGGGGTCCCTATGTAAAAGGGAAAAAACCATAAAAATGAAAAAAAATCTGGCTACCAGTATTTAAAAAACTCTAAAATCAGGACAATAAATAAAGAACAACATTCTGAAAACAGGGGAATTCCAGACATGAAACAATCGTGAAAAATGTTGAAGAGGGAGCCAGGAAATTGGACCCTACATGCATATGTGGTGGGATTGTAAATATGTGAATTGGTTGTAAGGGAAATAGAAAATATTATGAATATTGAAATTAAAAGGAATCCAGTAGAAATATTACTTTTAATTAAAAGAGAGGATAAAAAAGGCAAGAGGGAAAAATTTAATAGACATGCTATTAACAGCAACTAGATCAGTGGTTCTCAACCTTCCTAATGCCGAGACACCTTAATACAGTTTCTCATGTTGTGGGGAGCCCCACACATTTTTTCCATTGCTACATCATAACTGTAATTTTGCTACTATTATGAATTGTAATGTAAATATCTGATATGGAGGATGTAATTTCATTCCCTGGTCCTAATTTGGCACAAATACCCGATACGCCCAAATTTGAATACTGGTGAGGTTGGGGGGGGGGGCGGGGCGGGGATTGATTTTGTCATTTGGAAGTTGTGGTTGCTGGGATTTATAGTTCACCTACAATCAAAGAGCATTCTGAACTCCACCAACAATGGAATTGAACCAAACTTGGCACACAGAATTCCCATGACCAACAGAAAATACTGGAAGGATTTGATGGGTATTGACCTTGAGTTTTGGAGTTGTAGTTCACCTACATCCAGAAAGCACTACAGACTCAAACAATGATGGATCTGGATTAAACTTGGCAGGGATACTCAATATGCACAAATGTGAACACTGGGAAAACAGACCTTGGCATTTGGGAGTTGTCGTTGCTGGGATTTATAGTTCACCTACAATCAGAGAGCATTCTGAATCCCACCAATGATAGAATTGGGTCAAACTTCCCACACATAATCTTCACGACCAACAGAAAATAGTCTTTTCTGATGGTCTTTGGTGACCCCTCTGACACCCCCTCATGACCCCCCCCCATGGGTCCCGACCCCCAGGTTGAGAAACACTGAGCTAGATTATTAATTGCAAAATATTGGAAAGGGGAAATGAAAATACAAATTAATGACTGGTATAAAGAAGTCTGGACAATGGCATTGAATGCTAAGCTAACATCAAACTTAAAAGTAAAGAAGGGATTATGGGGGAAAACAACTTTGAAAGTATTTGGAGAGAGAAAAATAGAAAAGTGTTGGGGGGAAAAGATGGGAGTTTACCTCCAAATGAAGAATTGAACTTTTGGTGGGACTTTAGAAGAAGAGATGGCTGTGGAGAATAGGAGCACAAAGGTGAAAGAAAATAAAAGAGGGGAAAATGTATAGCATATGTCTATATAACTTTAATTTTAAAAAAATTGGGGGGGGGGGATTCCGATTCCTCATTTAGCTGTCGGATCTCTTCTGGCATGTCATTCCATAGTCGCTGGAGTAGCCGCCCCCAGAGGACCCCAATGTCCTAAAGGACATATTGTAAAGGAAAAAGTGATTCTGTAGATAACCTGGACTCAAACCATGCAGGGCTTTAAAGGTCAAAACCAACACTTTGTACTTTGCCTGGAAACTAAGAAGTATATAAGATATAAGTATATTTTGTACTTTGACATTCCTGCTTATAGGGCCAGCCCTTTCATTATGCAGAATGAAGCATACTTATTAGGCCTCAGATTTGTGGTGTCCTATAAGGGCAGCAAATTCATATTTAATGTATGTATAATAGCCAGGAAAGAAGACGGCCACTTGTAGCATTTTCCTTCCACGGGTGCCAAGATAATGCAGAACTGGTATGCAAGTGAATTGTTTGTTGTATTTTTCAGGATGCTTTCAACTCCCTGGTAGCAGCACTGTTTCTCTTCATTGCAGGCCTGTGTGGAATAATTAAAAAAGTCATTCCTGAAGATTTAATTGGAGGCGTAAGTAAAAGAGTCTGTGATAGCAGCAATACATACAGATCGCGTGCAATCCATTCACCAGAGGGTTCTTTTCTGCCACATAGGCCAGGCTTTGAAAACCTTTTTGTTGGTCTCATAAAGCTATCCTTTCATCTCCTTTATCACAATAAATAGTCACCATCTGCATGTTTTGATATTTCTTGTTCTCTTGACCATAGCATTCCTAGGTACATTATAATTCACTGAACTATGCTTGGATCCTGATAATTAGTGATGGTGGCGCTCCATGCGGTCATGCTGGCCACATGACCTTGGAGGTGTCTATGGACAACGCTGGCTCTTCGGCTTAGAAATGGAGATGAGCACCACACCCCAGAGTCAGACATGAGTGGACTTAATGTCAGGGGACAACCTTTACCTTTCCTCCTCAGACAGATAGCTGGTGGAGGGGGCCCAACCCAAGTTGATATCACAGGGTTGAAACCACTACCTCTACCATGGTCCCAATCCCTATTTCTCTTACTACAGAATCTTTAAAAAAGGAAAGAATGAAATGAAACAACAGCAATGGCACACTCCTTACTGTTACTAATGATGTTGAGACAAAGTAACTGTGAACGCAGTGGGATTTTGCAAGTTTTCTATCATCCATTCATAATTATTCTTATGCCAAGAGAGCTGGCAATTCACATTTTCTACAGTAATATAGATTAAGGTTCCCCATTTGAAATCATATTTCATATTTGAAAGAGAATATAAGTTACTCTATATATTTGAGTATAAGTCAAGTTTTTCAGCCCCTTTTTTAGGCTGAAAAAGCCTCTCTCGGCTTATACTTGAATCAGTTATTTATCATTTTACTCTGTTGTTGTTATTATTGCATTTATTAGTTTACAGTATTTATTATTATTATTACATTTATATGAATTTACTCTATTATTATTTCATTACATTTATTATTTTACTCCATTACTATTGTTATTACATTTCCATTATTTTATTACTTTTATTATTTTACTCTATTATTATTGGAAGGATACGTAAGCACATTTACATTGAAGAAGGTTAGAATAATGGTTTAATCAGAGTTGGGCAGTCTTATCTTAAATTACAGTTTTATGTAAACATTCAAAAACATTTAACCTACTGATGCCTCAATTAATGTAATTGTATTGGTATCTATTTTTATTTCAAAATTTACCAGTAGCTGCTGCATTTCCCACCTTTGGCTTATACTCGAGTCAATACGCTTTCCCATTTTTTTGTGGTAAAATTAGGTGCCCCGGCTTATATTTGGGTGGCTTATACTCGAGTATATACGATACTTTAAGTTGACTGCATATATTACTAGCCAAATCTAATAAATCCATCTTTTAATCCCCTCTCTTGTATCCTAAGTTGTATCCAATTTGACAACAGCCAGAACAGCCTAATAAGGTGTCCTTGGAGCTAATTAGTATACTATAGCCAATGAAATTAAAGCAAGGGGAAATTGAAATAATCCCCCAAATTTTCAAAAAGTGAAAGGCAGTGGACTTAATTAATTTATTGAATAATTTTATTGAATTAATGTCTTCATTGTCAGGAATTAAATATTTGAGCCAAACATTGACAAAAGAGAGCTGGGCTGTTCAGATAATATGGGTCAAAATTATAATGGTAACTACATGCAATGTTCAATAGATTTTAGAAGGATGGTGTAATCTGAGTGAATTTATTTTCATTTGCAGGTGTTTTTCCTGATTCTCTGTGCTCTTTGTATAGCCGATGCTGTGTTTCTCTTGAAGAATATTAATTTTAATAGACCCCCAACAAGTAGGGACATTATTCACAGATAGAAGAAACAATCCAACATTTAATTTGTAATCCATTTGGTACACCTCTTGAACTATAAGGCTGCTTCAGTCATATTTTTCTGCATATTTTTCTAACAGGATAGAAGCATACTTTAGCCAGTCAAGCACTCCTGTTTATTCCAGCAGCAGAAAATGAAGCATGTTTTTATCTTTCCCATCAAAAATCAATGTGGTGTAAAAATGCATTAACTTCAGATGGATTTTCCCCTTATTTTTAAAATATATAAGGATTTAAATCTAATGTATTTAACTGTCTAAACAATTTTAAATGAAACTTTTCCTATGTGTTTTTATAAAACAGTTATAAATGTTACATTTCAAATGATTTGGAGATGTTCCAAAGTTTGTAAACTTTATGGTTTGCGTTAATTATTGTTTTAATTAAAAAGCTTTTTTCTAAGTAATGATGAATTCCAAGTGTATATTGTCAAGCATGCTCTCTACTTTCCCCATGGATGAGAAGTGTAAGGGCAGCACGGAAGGGTTTAAGCTCAAACTTTTGGACCATAAGGAAGGCTGAGCAAAGGAAGATAGATGCTTTTGAACTGTGGTGTTGGAGGAAAGTTCTGAGAGTGCCCTGGACCACAAGAATATCCAACCAGTCCAGACTTCAGGAAATAAATCCCGACTGCTCTTTGGAGGGAAGGATAGTAGAGGCCAAGATGAATTACTTTGGCCACATCATGAGAAGAAAGGAAAGCTTAGAGATGACAATTATGCTGGGGGAAATGGAAGGAAAAAGGAAGAGGACCAACCAAGAGGCAAGATGGATAGATGGTATCCTTGAAGTGACTGGCTTGACTTTGAAGGAGCTGGGGGAGGTGACGGCCGACAGGGCGCTCTGGCGTGGGCTGGTCCATGAGGTCACGAAGCGTCGGAAGCGACTGAACGAATGAACAACAACAATAACTGATTACATAAGGAGATGTATTGTCAAAGGCTTTTATAACTGGAATCACTGAGTTGTGAGTTTTCCAGGCTGTATGGCCATGTTCCACAAGTATTCTCTCTTGACGTCTAGTGCAGGCATCCTCAGAGTTGTGAGGTCTGTTGGAAACTAGGAAAATGTGGTTTTATATATCTGTGGAATGTCCAGGTTGGGAGAAAGAATTCTTGTCTGTTTGAAGAAGGTATGAATGTTACAATTGGCCACCTTGATTAGCATTTAATGGCCTAGCCGTTTCAAGGTCTGGGGGAATCCTTTGTTGGGAGGTGATTAGCTGGCCCCTGATTGTTTCTTGTCTGGGATTCCTCAGTTTTTAAGTGTTGTTCTTTATTTACTTTCCAGATTTTAGAATTTTTAAAATACTGGTAGCCAGATTTTACAATACAATACAATACAATAAGCCTTTATTGGCATAACATGGCAGAGAGTATAAAACATAGTACACGTAATAAAAAAGGGCTTCTCGTTTGCTACACATTCAGTTTGCAGACTTCATTCAGGAATCTTGCCACTGAAAGGCAGCAGCTAAAGTCCTGGCAATTTAAAAGCAAAATCACTTTGTCAGAATCGCTGCGGTTCTTCAGTGAATCTATAGCTTGTGTTAGCAGGCTGGATCTTAGCTCCTGGTAGAGTGGACAGTGCAGGAGAATATGCGGTATGGAGTCTAGCTGACCTGTGCTGCAGAGGCAGACCCTCTTGTCGCTCGGGAGGCCATTGAGTCTTCCTCTATGGAGCGGCGATGGCATGATGTTAAATCTAGCCAGCATGTAGGCTCTTCTGTAAGAGGGGTTGGTGAGCTCCGTGATGTAAAAGGCTGGATTTCCCTGTGTGTATGGGATTGCCAAGTTAATAGGTGAGCAGGATTTGTTTGCCAAGCTCAACAATTGGTTGTGGTCCCTTTCTAGGTAGCCAGATTTTGTTCATTTTCATGGTTTCCAAATTATCCAAATGCTTGTGTATTTCGATGGCATGGTGGTTGTTAGATTGGTCCAGCATTTCTGTGCTCTCAAATAATATGCTGTATTCAGATTGGCTTTGAAGCTGCAAGGCCATTAAGTGCTAATCAAGGTGGCCATTTGCAACATTCACATTTGCCCCCGGTGGCGCAGTGGGTTGAACCCCTGTGCCGGCAGGACTGAAGACCGACAGGTCGCAGGTTCGAATCCGGGGAGAGGCGGATGAGCTCCCTCTATCAGCTCCAGCTCCTCATGCGGGGACATGAGAGAAGCCTCCCACAAGGATGATAAAAACATCAAATCATCCAGGCGTCCCTGGGCAACGTCCTTGCAGACGGCCAATTCTCTCACACCAGAAGCTACTTGCTCCTGACACGACAAAAAAAATGCCTCAAACAGACAGGAGTCCTTTTCCCACCCTGGACATTAAACAACTTAGTGATCACTTGCCTAGTTTCCAACAGATCTCTCAACCTCTGGGGATGCCTGCCGTAGATGTGGGCAAAACGTCAGCAGAGAATGCTTCTGGAACATGGCCATATAGCCCAGAAAACTCACAGCAACCCAGTATTTGAGGCCATGAAAACCTTTGACAACACATTAAACAGATCTATTTCTGCCTTGGTGAGTTTCTACATTACAAATGCTAAGTGTTTTTCAAATAAGAAGTTAATCCTACAGTGAAGCCCTCCCACCCCTCTTGACAGGAAAACCGTTCCGATTGTGTTTTTAAACAACTTTGTGATCATAGAATGGAAAACAAAGGCAAACCATTCTTGATGAGACTGATTTTAAGGGTCTGATGGTATGTCTGAGCCAAAGTTCAACAGGAAAAGGGTTATATTTAGATGCATTGTTATCCCAATGTTTACTACTAAGTCAAACAAGTCTTGGATTAATGGTTTGCTCTTCCCCACAAAGAAAAGATCAGGAGAGTATAGTATTTTATCTACATCACTGCAACTATGGTTTGTCTTTAAAAAGCCATGAAAATGAACAAATTCTCGCTACTAGTAATAAAAAACTCTAAAACCAGCATATTAAAACAGGAAGCAGACAGGCTTTGAAGCTGCAAGGCCATTCAGTGCTCATCAAGATACCCAAGGGCACATCGGAACAGCCAGGTCTTCAAATTCTTCCTAAAGACTGCCAGTGTGGGGACCTGTCTAATGTCTTTGGGGAGGGTGTTCCAAAGTCAGGGGGCCACCACAGAGAAGGCCCTGTCCCTCGTCCCCACCAAACGCGCCTGCGACGCAGGTGGGATCGCGAGCAGGGCCTCTCCGGATGAACGAAGAGAGCGCGTGGGTTCATAAACGGAGATGCAGTAATGCAGGTGGGCAGGTGAGCACCTGCACCTTGAATTGGGCTTGGAAAATAAATGGCAGCCAATGGAGCTCCTTAAACAGGAGGGTTGACCTCTCTCTGTAAGGAGCCCCAGTTAACATCCTGGCCGCTGCCCGTTGGACTAGTTGGAATTTCCGAGCCGTTTTCAAGGGCAGCCCCACGTAGAGCGCATTACAGTAGTCCAGTCTAGAGGTGACCAAGGCATGGACCACGCCGGCCAGATCAGCCTTCGCGAGGTACGGTCGCAGTTGGTGCATGAGTCTCAGTTGTGCAAAAGCCCTCCCGGACACCGCCGACGCCTGAGCCTCAAGCATGAGCGATGAATCCAAGAGGACTCCCAAACTGCGGACCTGTGCCTTCAGGGGGAGTGTAACCCCGTCCAGCACAGGTTGCCACCCTATACCCCGGTCAGGTTTACAATCGACCAGGAGGACCTCTGTCTTGTCGGGATTGATCTTCAGCTTGTTCCTCCTCATCCAGATAGACACAGCGGCCAGGCACTCGTCCAGGACCCGGGAGGCCTCCTTGGAATTGGGTGGAAATGAGTAATAGAGTTGTGTGTCATCTGTGTAGAGGTGGCACCTAACTCCAAAACTCCGGATGACCTCTCCCAGTGGTTTCATGTAGACAGGGGTGGCTCAACCCATTACGCAAAGTAAGCATTGCAGTATAGTTGATTTTGCCCAGGGGCGCTCTTGAGGCGCTCTTGGGGGAAAATAGACCTTGACATATGCAAGTTGTAGTTACTGGGATGTATAGTTCACCTACAATCAAAGAGCATTCTGAACTCCACCAAGGATGGAATTGAACCAAATATGGCACACAGAACTCCCATGACGAACAGAAAATATATATCAATGATTGGTTGGGGGGGGGGGGGGGGCAAAATACTGTTTGCTTACCATTGAAAATTACCTAGGGCCTCAGTCATTTATAATACACTATTAAACTGGCTAACGGAGTGTGAACAGGTTAAACCATGTATGATAAAATGGGCAGAAAATATAAGAAGACCTATTCAATTTAGAGAGTGGGAGCAGATGTGGAACAAAAAATTGAAATATGTGTATGCAACAGATTTAAAAGAAAACTGGATAAAAATGTTCCACAGATGGTATACCACTCCAAAGAAATTATCTTTAATGAACAAAAATTCTTCTGATAAATGCTGGAAGGGTTGTCATCGAACAGGCACTTTTTATCATATGTGGTGGACATGCAAAGAAACAGAGAAATATTGGCAGATGGTTCATGATGAGACACAAAAAATCCTGAAGAGAGTATTTAAGAAGAAACCAGAATACTATTTATTAGGTTTTACTGATCTGGAATTACAACTAGATGAGAATGAAGACAGACTGTTTACCTATATGACGACGGCGGCGAGAATATCTTTGGCTAAACTTTGGAAGCAGGAAGATATCCCTACCATTGAAGAATGGTTAGGGAAAGTAAGAGAAATAAGAGAAATGGATGAACTAACTTTTTTCTTGAAAAAGAATACCGGGAATCCGATAAAGAGGACAGATTGGACTCTATATGAAAATTACGAGAAAGAAAAGAAGTAAATAAGAGGAATATTTTGATGTGGTTATATTGGGAACATTATTGAGGACACAACACCTGATGGAGAGATGGAAGTCAATGTTTATCCTTTCTTTTGCTTTTTGCTTTTTTTTCCTTTTTACTGGTGATTTTGGATTTTTCTATTTTTAGTGTTTTCTTTTTGGACTTGGGGCAGGGTTGGGGTCCTTTCTATCCTTTCCTACTTTGCTATCTCCTTCTACAATATTCACCCTCTTTCGCTGTTACTTTTTAATATTTTAATAAAAATCATTTTAAAAAAAGAAAGAAAGTTATCTAGGGCCGCCACTGCATGTAGATGTTAAAGAGCATGGGAGAAAAAATAGAGCCTTGCGGGACCCCACAGGTCAAAGGCCAGGGGTCCGAGCAGGCATCTCCCAGCTTCACCATCTGGGATCGACCCTCCAGGAAGGATCGGAGCCACGACAAAACCGTGCCCCCGAGAGAGTCGACCCAGAAGGATACCATCATCGATGGTATCCAAAGCCGCTGAGATGTCCAAGAGAACCAACAATGTTCCTTGGTCGTTTGGTGGTTTCAATTCCCCATGACTTTGACACAAGGATGTCATGAACCAAGGCCTTCTGTGCATGGTGCTCTTCCAGAGGGTGCCTTTCCTCCTTGCTGGGGAGGGAAGTGCCCAGGTGTGACTCCCAGAAGCAGAAAGGGGGAAAGATGGCCGAAGAGGAGCCCAGCTGCAGCCTGGATGCATCTGGAGGGAGGGCTGGCTCTGCCCTGGACTTGCCCCCGCCCTTCTCTCTCTGTGCCTCTCTCTGTCTGTGTGTCTCTATGGGGCGGGGTGGGGGGCGTTCCTTTGGGGCGGGGGCTGAAGGCAGGGATCCTCTGCTTCCCAAAGAAAGCCATGGAGCGGGCCGGGAGCGAAGAAGAGCCCGATGGGCCCCAGGCAGTGCCTCCGGGGGCGCGCCTCCTCCTCTCCGCCAAGGGATTTCTAGGCTCCCACAAAGGACGGCTCCTTCTGGCCCAAGCGGTAAGAGGGGCGCGGGTGCGGAGGCAGGGGGCACCCAGCGCCCGTCCGTCCTTCCTTCCTTCCTTCCTTCCTTCCTTCCTTCCTTCCTTCCTTCCTTCCTTCCCTTTCCTTTCCTTTCCTTTCCTTTCCTTTCCTTTCCTTTCCTTTCCTTTCCTTTCCTTTCCTTTCCTTTCCTTTCCTTTCCTTTCCTTTCCTTTCCTTTCCTTTCCTTTCCTTTCCTTTCCTTTCCTTCCTTCCTTCTCTTTCTAGGTTTGCTTTTCGCGCTGCCTTACAGAGAAAAAAAAAAAAGGCGGGGCCCTTACTTTCTCATCACACTAGAGAAAAAAAAATCCACTTTAAATCCGGTTCCTGCCTCCTGCAGAATGCTGCAGTTTGTAGTTTAGGGAGGCTGTAAAGCAGTGGCCCTTATTTCTCATGCCAGTAAGGTCATGCTCAAGATCCTGCAAGGAAGACTCCAGCAAGACATGGAGCGAGAGTTGCCAGATGTTCAAGCTGGGTTTAGAAAAGGCAGAGGAACCAGAGACCAGATTGCCAATATCCGCTGGAGAATGGAGAAAGGCAGGGAGTTTCAGAAAAACATCTATTTCTGCTTCATTGACTATTCTAAAGCCTTTGACTGTGTGGATCATAATAAATTGTGGCAAGTTCTTGGTGGGATGGGCATCCCAACACCTTGTCTCTCTCCTGAGGAATCTGTACAAGCTCCTGAGGAATCTGTAAGAACTGACCATGGTACAACAGACTGGTTCAAGATTGGGAAAGGTGTACGGCAGGGTTGTATACTCTTCCCCAACCTATTCAACTTGTATGCAGAACACATCATGCGATGTGCGGGGCTGGATGAATGCAAGGCTGGGGTGAAAATTGCTGGAAGAAACATTAACAACCTTACATATGCAGATGACACCACTCTGATGGCCGAAAGTGAGGAGGAGCTGAGGAGCCTTCTAATCAAGGTGAAAGAAGAAAGCGCAAAAGCTGGGTTGCAGCTAAATGACAAAAAAAAAAAACCAAGATTATGGCAACAAGAATGATTGACAACTGGAAAATAGAGGGAGAAAATGTGGAGGCCATGACAGACTTTGTATTTCTAGGTGCAAAGATTACTGCAGATGCAGACTGTGGCCAGGAAATCAGAAGACGCTTACTTCTTGGGAGGAGAGCAATGTCCAGTCTTGATAAAATCGTAAAGAGTAGAGACATCACACTGGCAACAAAGATCCGCCTAGTCAAAGCCATGGTATTCCCTGTAGTAACCTACGGATGTGAGAGCTGGACCTTAGGGAAGGCTGAGCGAAGGAAGAGATGCTTTTGAGCTGTGGTGTTGGAGGAAAGTTCTTGGACTGCGAGAAGATCCAACCAGTCCATCCTCCAGGAAATAAAGCCCGACTGCTCACTGGAGGGAAAGATACTAGAGACAAAGTTGAAGTACTTTGGCCACATCATGAGGAGACAGGAAAGCCTAGAGAAGACAATTATGCTGGGGAAAGTGGAAGGCAAAAGGAAGAGGGGCCGACCAAGGGCAAGATGGATGGATGGCATCCTTGAAGTGACTGGACTGACCTTGGGAGCTGGGGGTGGTAACGGCCGACAGGGAGCTCTGGCGTGGGCTGGTCCATGAGGTCACGAAGAGTCAGAGATGACTGAACGAATGAACAACAACAAAGCAGTGGTTCTCACCTTTCCTCATGCCACAACCCCTTCAAACAATTCGTTGTGGATTTCTATCCTAGAGCTGTGGATCCACAAGTGATTTGTTTTCATAGAATCAAAGAGTTGGAAGAGACCTCATGGGGCATCCAGTCCAACCCCATTCTGCCAAGAAGCAGGAATATTGCATTCAAATCACCCCTGACAGATGGCCATACAGCCTCTGTTTAAAAGCACCCAAAGAAGGAGCCTCCACCTTACTTACTTACTTAGGCGATCCCTCGTTGGACGAGTAAGATGGTCTTCCATGATGGGTTTCCTTGTGGATTCGTAGGTGGCCTATTCTTGACCCACATCTTCTCCCACAGTGAAGGCATTGGTTTCCAGGTGGAAGGCGGTCCCGGTCGGGGTTGGCTTGACGCGCCTTCCTCCTGGCACGTTTCTCTCTTTCACCCTCCACTCGTGCCTCCTCGAATTCTGCAGCACTGCTGGTCACAGCTGACCTCCAGCTGGAGCGGTCAAGGGCCAGGGCTTCCCAGTTCTCAGTGTCTATGCCAGAGCTTTTAAGATTGGCTTTGAGCCCATCTTTCAATCTCTTTTCCTGTCCACCAACATTCCGTTTTCCGTTCTTGAGTTCAGAGTAGAGCAACTGCTTTGGGAGACGGTGGTCAGGCATCCGGACAATGTGGCCGGTCCAGCGGAGTTGATGGCAGAGGACCATCGCTTCAGTGCTGGTGGTCTTTGCTTCTTCCAGCACGCTGACGTTTGTCCGCTTGTCTTCCCAAGATTTTTGCAGGATTTTCCGGAGGCAGCGCTGATGGAATCGTTCCAAGAGTTGCGTGCGACGTCTGTAGACAGTCCACGTTTCGCAGGCAATAGCAGGGTTGGGAGGACAATAGCTTTATAGACAAGCACCTTGGTATCCCTACGGATGTCCCGGTCCTCAAACACTCTCTGCTTCTTTTGGGAAAATGCTGCACTCGCAGAGCTCAGGCATTGTTGTATTTCAGTGTCGATGTTGACTTTGGTGGAGAGGTGGCTGCCAAGGTAGCGGAAATAGTCAACATTTTCTAACGTTACACCATTAAGTTGTATCTCTGGCATTAGAGAGGGTTGGCCAGTGACTGCTGGAACAGCACTTTGGTTTTCTCGATGTATAGCCTGAAGAAGAGAAGGCTGAGAGGAGACATGATAGCCATGTATAAATATGTGAGAGGAAGCCACAGGGAGGAGGGAGCAAGCTTGTTTTCTGCTCCCCTGGAGACTAGGACGCGGAACAATGGCTTCAAACTACAAGAAAGGAGATTCCATCTGAACATGAGGAAGAACTTCCTGACTGTGAGAGCTGTTCAGCAGTGGAACTCTCTGCCCCTGGAGTGTGGTGGAGACTCCTTCTTTGGAGGCTTTTAAACAGAGGCTGGATGGCCATCTGTCAGGGGTGATTTGAATGCAATATTCCTGCTTCTTGGCAGAGAGTTGGACTGGATGGCCCAGGAGGTCTCTTCCAACTCTATGATTCTATGTGACTAAGTCATGGACTACCATGACCAAGTCAGGCATCCCAAGGTATGGGCGCAACTGGCGCACAAGTTTTAACTGTGCGAAGGTGCTCCTGGCCACCACTGACAGCCAGGGTTCCAGGATCAGCTATGAGTCCAGGATCATCCCCAGACTGCGGACCTGTGTCTTCAGGGGGAGTGCGTCCCCATCCAACACAGGCTGTAATCCCACACCTTGGTCCACCTTCCAACTGACCAGGTGTACCTCTGTCTTGTGTGGAGTACCTCTGTCTTTCAACTTGTTAGACCTCATCCAGTCCATCACTGATGAGAGGCACTGGTTCAGGACCAGAACGGCATCCTTGGCTTTTGGTGGAAAGAAGTAATAAGAGTTGGCTGTTGTCTGCATAAATGTGACACCGAATTCCAAAACTCCATATGATCTCTCCCAGCACTTTCATGTAAATGCTAAACAGCATGGGGGACCGAATTGAGGGACTCCACTGGCCACAGGCATTATCTCAAGGAGTTATGTTTTCAGAGGGAGTTTGCCTTTTCCTTCCTCCGAGACTGGGAGAACGTGATGCTTCAGATCGTCCGGTGGATTTCAATGGCCAAGGAGGGATTTGAACCTAGGTCTCCAGAATCATCCTCCAATGCTCAAACCGTTGCATAACACTAGGTTTTACCCAGAGGCGGCCCTAGGTAATTTTCAACAGTAAGCAAACAGTATTTTGCCCCCCCCCCCCCCAACCAATCACTGATATATATTTTCTGTTCATCGTGGGAGTTCTGTGTGCAATATTTGGTTCAATTCCATCATTGGTGGAGTTCAGAATGCTCTTTGATTGTAGGTGAACTATACATCCCAGTAACTACAACTGCATATGTCAAGGTCTATTTTCCTCCAAGAGCGCCTCAAGAGCGCCCCTGGGCAAAATCAACTATACTGCAAATGCTTACTTTACGTAATGTTTGAGCTGCCCCTGGGGAGACCACAGATCCCACTCAATTCCCATCCTTTCCTTCAAATATCTGCCCTGTCCTTCAACCCTTTCTTACCTCTCTAACACATCTAAAACACACTGTGATGATGAAATTAGATTTTCTCAACCCCCAAGATGCTACTCTTGTTGCTAGTTTTTGCAGAAGAGAAATCACTTCTATGTTCTAAAATAAAGCACATTGCGTAACCGTTTCAAAACAGCCCACACAAAAAATAATATTACAAACTCTTTGTTTTGTAGCTGATTTGCATTGGCTGCTTTGCAAGATTTCCTAAATTTTAAAAAGTGGGATTTTGTTTCAACGGTCAATGAAAAGAAAATCACCTTCTTTGCTTCCAAGTGTCTCTCTTGCAGCGCGGTCCGATGCATGTTTACTCTCTGAATTCTGTATCTCAGGCGGGGATGGCTCGAGATCTCTGGTCCCATCTACACTGCCATATAATGCAGGTCACTGTCGTTAAACTGTGTTTATATGGCAGTGTAGATGCAGCCAGTCACTTCCTCTCAACCTGGTTGAGCATACAAGGGTGTGCAGGTACAACTGTACCAGGAGCTCCTATTTTGTTTGCTTTGCATTGAATGTTTGTTGTAGTCCTAAGTTTCAGGGACTCTGCAGATAGGTGGCTTCTTTTGGCTGCAATCATAGGGCAAGCCACCTGTCAATTATAGTTAGGTTCCCTGGTCCCGCCCCCTTTTGGGTTTTGGAGGGAATAGGAGCCATTTTGGGTTCAGTCCACACAGAGAAGCTTTTCATGCAGGACATAATACCAAGAGCTCCTGTAGAAAGCTTCGTCTTCTACAGCTTGGCCGGGGAGAAAGGTCCCGTAGCTTGGCCAAGGATTATACAGCCTTACAGCTCCTTTGCTGAGGGACTTCAGCCAGCCATCACCGAAACCTGAACTCCTTTTTCCTCTGGAAGTCTACAAAGCTCTGCTTGGTAAGGGTCACTCGCGGAAGCCAGAAGCAGTTGGTACCGGGTGCAGGGGCTCCACGCCAACAGAGGCAAAGACAGACTGCCCAGATTAGAAGTTAAGGATTTCCCCATTAGTTATAGTTATGAAGATAGTGCCTGTTCCCTGTGGACAAGATTGAGAGAGAGCCAATAGACTGTTAAGAAAGCCTTAAAGTACCTGTTTGTTTTCAATAATAAAGAACTTTGTTGAACCTTTAAGCCAGTGTTTCTCAACCTGGGGGTTGGGACCCCTGTTGGGGTCGCGAGGGGGTGTCAGAGGGGTCGCTAAAGACCATCAGAAAACATAGTATTTTCTGTTGGTCATGGGTTCTGTGTGGAAAGTTTGGTCCAGTTCCATCGTTGGTGGGGTTCAGAATGTTATTTCATTGTAGGTGAACTATATATCCCAGCAACTACAACTCCCAAATGTCAAAGTCTATTTTTCTCAAAATTCTCCAGTGTTCGCATTTCAGCATGTTGAGTATTCGTGCCAAGTTTGGTTCAGATCCATCATTGTTTGAGTCCACAGTGCTCTCTGGATGTAGGTGAACTACAACTCCAAACATTCAAGGTCAATGTCCACCAGATCCTCCCAGTATTTTCTCTTGGCCATGGGGGTTCTGTGTGCTAAGTTTGGTTCAATTTCATCATTGGTAGTGTTCAGGATGCTCTTTGATTGTAGGTGAACTATAAATCCCAGCCACTACAGCTCCCAAATAACAAAATAAATCCCTCCCAACCCCACCAGTATTCAAATTTGGGCATATTGGGTATTTGGGGTTTGAAAATATGAGATATTTACATTACGATTCATAACAGTAGCAAAATTACAGTTACAAAGTAGCAACGAAAATAATGTTATGGTTGGGGGTCACCACAACGTGAGGAACTGTACTAAGGGGTTGCGGCATTAGGAAGGTTGAGAAATACTGCTTTAAGCAATCTAAAGACTCTGTTTTAAGGAAATCCAAGGGCCTTGAATCTGAGGCAGCCCCGGCGTCCCGTTGAGCACACAGAATTTATGTCCTGTCTACAGTCTTATGCACAGGCCCAGCGTGCGACAGCACAAAGGGCCTCATCTATATTGCCACTTAATGCAGATGCAATTGCATTATATGGTCAGTGTAGACCTGGCATGGGCAAACTTAGGCCCTCCAGGTGTTTTGAATTCCAACTCCCACAATTCCTAACAGCCTCAGGCCCCTTCCTTAGTTGCTTAAGCAGCTGAGGGGGAAAGGAAAAGTCTTGAGGCTTTAAAAAAAAAAGGAATTGTGCGAATTGGAGTTCAGAACACCTGGAGGGCCTAAGTTTGCCCATGCCTGGTGTAGACTCAAATAGAATAGTCCGTCTCCTGTCCCTATAGGCTAACTGTCTGTGCCTTCCTTTGTCTTGCATAGGTGCTGTCCTTCATCATCTTCATCTGCTATATTGCCTCCGACGCCGCATCTTTCTTGACGGTCCCCTTGTTGACCTTTGTGTTGGCCCTCTGCTTTTTCTTTGCCTATTCCTTGAGGCTTAACGACAAGTTCAAAGCAGTCTATTGGGTTTTGGCGGTAAGTAGACCAAGCAGTGGCTCTAACAGTGTATGCGTGTGTCTTTGTGTCTATGTAGCCCAAGCATGTAGTGTCGGACCCGTGGGGGGGGGGGGTCACGAGAGGGTGTCAGATGGGTCACCAAAGACCATCTGAAAACACAGTATTTTCTGTATTGTCGAAGGCTTTCATGGCCGGAATCATTGGGTTGTTGTAGGTTTTTTCGGGCTATATGGCCATGTTCTAGAGGCATTCTCTCCTGACATTTCGCCTGCATCTATGGCAAGCATCCTCAGAGGTAGTGAGGTCTGTTGGAACTAGGAAAATGGGTTTATATATCTGTGGAATGACCAGGGTGAGACAAAGGACTCTTGTCTTCTGGAGCTAGGTGTGACTGTCAACAGCCGTTCCCAATAACGACACAGGACTCTGATCCGTAATCAATTAGAAACCTTTACTGCTGGATGTTCAGACACAAAGAAAGCCGGGATTGACCAGCAGCCGCTGGTCATCTCTTTTATACACTCCCCCACATTCGAAACCCTCCTTCCTGCCAAGCCAGGAATCCCGCGCAACGCTCCCGCCAAGTGCCAACTGCTATCCCCGAGGTCACCAGCTGCACAGTTCTTATCAGAGTCCTATGTCAGGATCCTGGTTTTTAGCGCCAAAACCGAAGGCCTGGAAACCGGCTCCTGACACTAGGTGTGAATGTTTCAACTGACTGCCTTGATTAGCATTTGATGGCCTGGCAGTGCCTAGCTCCAGCAGACAAGAGTTCTTTGTCCCACCCTGGTCATTGATATAATAATAATAATAATAATATAATAATAATAAACTTTATACCCCGCTACCATCTCCCCAAGGGACTCGGTGCAGCTTACATGAGGCCGAGCCCAAATACAACAATACAAGCAATAATATCAACAATACAAGCAGTTAAAATAAAAACATGGACAATAAAATAATACAACATTAACAATAAGACCACACGATTAAAACTATGGGAAGGCCAAATGTAAAATTAACATTGAAAGTAATGCTGGAACATGGGCGAGAAAGTGATGGGGCGTTTGTGGAAAACATACAAGCAGACCTAAAAAATGTAAAGTGCTTTGGAGGACAAAGTGCTATGAAATCATTATTCTGGGAAGGCACACTGGAACAGCCATGTCTTCAAGCTCCTCCTAAAGACTGCCAGAGTTGGGGCATGCCTGATGTCTTTAGGGAGTGAGTTCCAGAGTCGAGGGGCCACCACCGAAAAGGCCCTCTCTCTCGTACCCACCAATCGCACCTGCGATGGAGGTGGGAGCGCGAGCAGGGCCTCTCCAGATGATCGAAGAGATCGTGTGGGTTCGTATACAGAGATGCAGTCACGCAGGTAGGCGGGTCCCAAACCATTCAGGGCTTTGTAGGTAAGAACCTGCACCTTGAATTGGGCTCGGAAAATGAATGGCAACCAGTGGAGCTTCTTAAACAGTAGATGTGGCTCTTAATGAAACATGCCGCATTATCATGCCCTTAAACAGGAGGGTTGGCCGCTCCCATATATAAACCCATTTACCTAGTTCCAACAGACCTCACTACCTCTGAGGATGCTTGCCATAGATGCAGGCGAAACATCAGGAGAGGATGATAATAATAATAATAATAATAATAATAATTAATAATAATAATAATAATAATAATAACAACTTTATTTGTACCCTGCTACCATCTCCTCAGGGAGCCCCTGGTGGTGCAGTGGGTTAAAGCACTGAGCTGCTGAGCTTGTTGATCAAAAGGTCGCAGGTTCGATTCCGGGGAGCGGCGTGAGCTTCCGCTGTCAGCCCTAGCTTCTGCCAACCTAGCAGTTCGAAAACATGCAAATGTGAGTAGATCAATAGGTACCGCTCCGGCGGGAAGGTAACGGCGCTCCATGCAGTCATGCCAGCCACATGACCTTGGAGGTGTCTACGGACAACGCTGGCTCTTCGGCTTAGAAATGGAGATGAGCACCACACCCCAGAGTCAGACATGACTGGACTTAATGTCAGGGGACTACCTTTACCTTTACCTTACCATCTCCCCAAGGGACTGTGCAGCTTACATGAGGCCAAGCCCACAATACATCAATAAACAAAACATCAAATAAAACAGTCAATACAATACAATTCAAATAAATCACATAAACAAAATAAGCAATAAGCAATCAACAATGACATACAACATGTTAAAAACCAATGGCCGGGTCAAATGTAATAGATTAAAATTAAAATAATGCTGATGTGACGTGAACATTTTCAGAGAGAAGTGAGGGAACGCAGTCAGTCCTAAATCAATGGTAAAGTGCATTTTGAGGGCATATTGCTGAGAGTTTTCCTTATTCTGGGAAGGCACACTGGAACAACCACATTTTCAGGCTCCTCCTAAAGACTGCCAGAGTTGGGGCATGTCTGATGTCCCTGGGAAGTGAGTTCCAGAGTTGGGGGGCCACCACCGAGAAGGCCCTCTCCCTCGTCCCCACCAATCGCGCCTGCGAAGGAGGTGGGAACGTGAGCAGGGCCTCTCCAGATGATCGAAGAGATCGTGTGGGTTCGTACACAGATACTCAATATGGCCAAATGTAAACCAGACTCTAGAACAGTGTTTCTCAACCTGGGGGTCGGGACCCCTGTGGGGGTCGCGAGGGTGTCAGAGGGGTCACCAAAGACCATCAGAAAACATAGTATTTTCTGTTGGTCATGGGGTTCTGTGTGGGAAGTTTGGTCCAATTCTATCATTGGTGGAGTTCAGCATGCTATTTCATTGTGGGTGAACTATAAATCCCAACAACTACAACTCCCAAATGGCAAGGTCTATTTTCTCCAAACTCTACCAGTGTTCACATTTAGGCATATTGAGTATTTGTGCCAAGTTGATCCAGATCCATCATTGCTTGAGTCCACAGTGATTTCTGGATGTAGATGAACTACAACTCCAAAAACTCAAGGTCAATGTCCACCAGACCATCCCAGTATTTTCTCTTGGTCATGGGAATTCTGTGTGCCATGTTTGATTCAATTCCATCATTGATGGAGTTCAGAAGGCTCTTTGATTTAAGGTGAACTATAAATCCCAGCAACTCCAGCATTACCAAATGACAAAATCAATCACCCCCAACCCCACCAGTATTCAAATTTTGGGCATATCGGGTATTTGTGCCAAATTTGGTCCAGTGACTGAAAATACATCCTGCATATCAGATATTTACATTACGATTCATAACAGTAGCAAAAATGACAGTTATGACAGTAGCAATGAAAGTAACGTTATGGTTGGGGGTCACCACAACATGAGGACCTGTACTAAGGGGTCACGGCATTAGGAAGGTTGAGAAACACTGCTCTAGAACATGGCCATATAGCCCCCAAAAAAACCTACAACAACCCACAGTATTTTCTGTTGGTCATGGGAGTTCTGTGTGGGAAGTTTATCCCAATTCTATCGTTGGTGGGGTTTGGAATGCTCTTTGATTGTAGGTAAACTATAAATCCCAGCAACTACAACTCCCAAATGACACAATCAATTCCCCCCCCAACCCCACCAGTATTCAAATGTGGATATTTGTGCCAAATGTGGTCCAGCAAATGAAAATACATCCTGCATACCAGATATTTACATTACGATTCATAACAGTAGCAAAATTACAGCTATGAAGTAGCAACGAAAATAATTTTAGGGGTTGGGGGTCACCACAACATGAGGAATCGCATTAGGAAGGTTGAGAAAGAGTGATATAGTGTGTGATGATTGAGTCCTGGCTCAGAAGCCTATTAGCTGCAACTAATAGTTATTCCTGAAAGTGACCACTAGGTGCCGCTGTGTTCCCAAATAAATGTTTGGTAATTGAAGCTGGAGGAATGCAACAAGGAAGCAAGGGAAGAATGCAAAGCTGTCCTCAGTATATTCCTCCCTTTAGTGTTCATGACTTCCCATCAGCCCTCTGATTTCTCTGAGTCATAGAGAGTGCAATGTCCTCAGCATCTAGACATGCAATTATCAGTGATCGGGGTTGTTCTAGTCATTGGCAGTGGAAACTTCTGAGACTAACTTGCCCATCGTAAGCTTTCCTTGTGGAATTTTGCAGCATATTTAACAGAAACTTGGGAGAGACATTAAGAGTGAAAGTTAAACAGACATTAAGGCCTTTTCTACATGCCAAATAATCCAGATTATCCAAGTAAATGATCCTCGTTATCTCCTTTGAGCTGGATTATGAGTCTACACTGTATAGAATCATAGAGTTGGAAGAGACCTCATGGGCCATCCAGTCCAACCCCCTGCCAAGAAGCGGGAAAATTGCATTCAAATCACCCCTGACAGATGGCCATCCAGCCTCTGTTTAAAAGCTTCCAAAGAAGGAGCCTCCACCACACTCCGGGGCAGAGAGTTCCACTGCTGAACGGCTCTCACAGTCAGGAAGTTCTTCCTCATGTTCAGATGGAATCTCCTTTCTTGCAGTTTGAAGCCGTTGTTCCGTGTCCTAGTCTCCAGGGCTTGCTCCCTCCTCCCTGTGGCTTCCTCTCACATATTTATACATGGCAATCATATCTCCTTTCATCCTTCTCTTCTTCAGGCTAAACATGCCCAGCTCCTTTAGCCGCTCCTCATAGGGCTTGTTCTCCAGAGCCTTGCAATATAAGCAGATCATCTAGGAGCCCCCAGTGGCACAGTGGGTTAAACCCTTATGCCGGCAGGACTGAAGACTGACAGGTCGCAAGTTTGAATCAGGGGAGAGTGTGGATGAGCTCCCTCTGTCAGCTCCAGCTCCCCATGCGGAGACATGAGAGAGGCCTCCCACAAGGATGGTAAAACATCAAACATCCAGGTGTCCCCTGGGCAATGTCTTTGCAGACAGCCAATTCTCTAACACCAGAAGCAACTTGCAGTTTCTCAAGTCACTCCTCACACGCAAACACACACACACACACACAAATCTGGATTTTATATGGCAGTGTGAAGGGACAAAAGTGTGTCAATAGGCAAGTACAGGCAGATTCTCAAACAGTGGTTATCTCTTTCAAGCAGAGCTTGGAAAAAAAAGTGTAACTAGTAAACCTTGAACAGGAGTACATGAACAGGAACATAGAAAACTTCCAGGATATGAAATCCAAAACCATAGCTTGACTTGAACAAGAGAACTCAGGCTTAGCTTCGCACTCTAATGCAGCATTGCCTGAACTGACCTTAAGGTAAACAACTTGTTGCTTAATAGACATGAAATCATTCCTTTTCCCATAAATTTCCTTCACAACTTTCCCATGTAATCTCTCTGAACAATGCAATCTATTTTTGGCTCCAATTTGATCTCCGTAGCTGCAGGTGGGTTCTCATGGGAACCCTCTTTATCACTGAGCTCTTCACTCGTTTCCTTACCAGCTGTTGCTACTTCTGCCTCCCCGAATGCCCTTGAGGCCCTGTACTTTCTCAGCCAATTTTCTTACAGAGAGAACCATTATTTCTCAGACTTGACAGTCCATCACTTTGTGCCACAGGAAAGCTTACAGTCCTCTCTAAATCATCAGTTAAACTATCATCTGGTGGCTTGAGCTACAACGGGGTTCTATTGGATTCGTGTCTGGGCGCGTTTGGTGGTCCCTATGTAGACTTGTCCAGAGCTGCATGGTATGGAATCAAGGAACATGAAAGGCACTGCAGACTACTTAAACCAGAGAAGTCAGCCATAGCAGAGCACCTGATGAACCAACCTGGACACAGAATATTATTTGAGAACACAGAAATGCTGGACCACTCTCAACAACCACCATGTCAGACTACACAGAGAAGCCATTGAAATCCACAAGCATGTGGACAATTTCAACAGAAAGGAGGAGACCATAAAAATGAACAAAATCTGGCTACCAGTATTAAAAAACTCTAAAATTACAACAGCAAAACAGCAGAGAGGAAACAACCAGGCACATCTTAACACCTCTCACCAAAAGATTTTCCCAGGCTCAGCCAGGCCTTCAAATGCTAATGAAGGTGGTCAGTTGAAACATTCACACCTAGCTCCAGCAGAGAAGAGCTCTTTGCCCCACCCCAGCCATTCCACAGATATATAAACCCATTTTCCTAATTCCAACAGACCTCACTACCTCTGAGGATGCTTGCCATAGATGCAGGCGAAACGTCAGGAGAAAATGCCTCTGGAACATGGCCATATAGCCCGAAAAAACCCACAAGAACCTAGTGATTCCAGCCATGAAAGCCTTCGACAATACAATTGAACATTCCTTATGTTAAGAAGGAAGTCAACACAAGCCTTGTGTTTGTTAACACCAATCAAGAAGATCAACATCTGGCCAGGAAACTGTGATGAAGCCAGGATGGAAGACGTCTATCATTAATTTGCAACTTTGGGACCACATCAACAGAATATTCCTATAAAAGACTCAGTCTAATAATGCTCAAAGTGTGACAGACCTGAGGAGTCTGGTTCACCTGTTACGCTCTGCTCCATGGGAAGGAGAGAGATGGTGTACCTATGGATAGTGGCAGATGTGCAAGGGAGCAGTCTGGTCACTTTGGGGCTTCTTTCTCAAGGGAAGAGGAAAAAGTGCGCTTTTGGAGTCTTTGATTTTGTGCAGGGAGTCAGGTTCTGCTGTATGGAAAACAGAGATCTGGTCCTTGGCATTGTTCTTAGGGAAAGAAGTTGGTGTTTTGAAGTTTTGGCGTTATGGAAGTTATGGAACTCTGCTTTGGCAGGCTGCAGGAAAGCAGGGTCCGGCCTAAGAGGTGCTTCTCCAAGGAGGGAGAAAAGGATATGGTAATATTTGGATGCATGTGGATGAATGTGTGTACATGTGTATGAATGTTGAGTGAAAATGTAATTCCCCTTTGTTTGTTTGTTAACCAATGTAATTGTAAATCCAATGTAGTTGCATAGAATCTGTATGTCTGTATGTCCAATGTCATTCTTTGTCTAAATGTTTTTCTGTAATTTGATATACCCTCTCACACTAGAAATTGCAATAAAAAGAACCTGTGCTTCAAAATTATTGAAAAGTCATTCATGACAGTTACGTGTAGTGTGTTGACTTAAATTATCATTGTATGCTGTTTATAGTTTCCTCCCAATATTCTTTATTTTGCAGGATTTCTTATGCGGTATCATCGCTGCAATTATCTATTTTGCCATATCCATTGCTGCAGTCTCAAAATATTCCGACACGGCATCCAAAGCTGCAGGAGTAAGTTGATCGATTCAGACGGGTTCCAATTCAGATCCTTCCCGATGTTTTGGGGCATCAGCCAAGCGATATACTGTATATATTCGAGTATAAACCTAGTTTTTCAGTTCTTTTTTTAGGCTGAAAAAGTCTCCCCTGGCTTATACTTGAGTCAATGTTATTTATTATTTTACTTTGTTGTTATTATTATTATTATTACATTTATTATTTTACTATTGTTATTATTACATTTATTATTTTACTCTATTATTGTTATTGTTACATTTATTATTTTACTCTATTATTATTATTATTATTATTTACTCTATTTATTATTATTGGAGGACATGTAAGCATATTTACATTGAAGAAGGTTAGAATAATGGTTTAATCAGAGTTGAACAGTCTTATCTTGAATTACAGCTTTATGTAAATATTCAAAAACATTTAACCTGTTGTTCATTCGTTCAGTCGTCTCCAACTCTTCGTGACCTCATGGACCAGCCCACGCCAGCGCTCCCTGTCGGCCGTCACCACCAGCTCCTTCAAGGTCAATCCAGTCACTTCAAGGATGCCATCCATCTATCTTGCCCTTGGTTGGCCCCTCTAATAATAATAATAATAATAATAATAATAATAATAATAATAATAATAATAATAATAATAACAACAACAACAACAACAACAACATTCGTGCCTCTTCGAATTCTGCAGCACTGCTGGTCACAGCTGACCACCAGCTGGAGCGCTCAAGGGCCAGGGCTTCCCAGTTCTGTGTCTATGCCAGAGATTTTAAGGTTGGCTTTGAGCCCATCTTTAAATCTATTTTCCTGCCCACCAACATTCCGTTTTCCGTTCTTGAATGGGGAGATGGTGGCGGGGTATAAATAAAGATTATTATTATTATTATTATTATTATTATTATTATTTTATGGATAGGAAACTTAAGGGCCCTTCCACACAGATATGTTGTTGTTGTTCATTCATTCAGTCGTCTCCGACTCTTCGTTACCAGCCCACGCCAGAGCTCCCTGTCAGCTGTCACCACCCCCAGCTCCTTCAAGGTCAGTCCAGTCACTTCAAGGATGCCATCCATCCATCTTGCCCTTGGTCGGCCCCTCTTCCTTTTGCCTTCCACTTTCCCCAGCATAATTGTCTTCTCTAGGCTTTCCTGTCTCCTCATGATGTGGCCAAAGTACTTCAACTTTTTCTCTAGTATCCTTCCCTCCAATGAGCAGTCGGGCTTTATTTCCTGGAGGATGGACTGGTTGGATCTTCTGGCGGTCCAAGGCACTCTCAGAACTTTCCTCCAACACCAAAGTTCAAAAGCATCTATCTTCCTTCGCTCAGCCTTCCCTAAGGTCCAGCTCTCACATCTGTAGGTTACTACAGGGAATACCATGGCTTTGACTAGGCAGATCTTTGTTGCCAGTGTGATGTCTCTACTCTTTACTATTTTCCTCCAACACCACAGCTCAAAAGTTGCCAGTGTGATGTCTCTGCTCTTTACTATTTTATCGAGATTGGACATTGCTCTCCTCCCATGAAGTAAGCGTCTTCTGATTTCCTGGCCACAGTCTGCATCTGCAGTAATCTTTGCGCCTAGAAATACAAAGTCTGTCACGGCCTCCACATTTTCTCCCTCTATTTTCCAGAACATTTAACCTACTAGTGCCTAAATTAATATAATTTTATTGGTATCTATTTTTATTTTGAAATTTACTAGTAGCTGCTGCATTTCCCACCCTCAGCTTATACTCGAGTCAATACCTTTTCCCAGTTTTTTGTGGTAAAATTAGGTGCCTCAGCTTATATTTGGGTTGGCTTATACTCGAGTATATACGGTATGTTGGGCGAGTGGACTTATTAACAAAAGACTCTCCCGTAAATGTACAGCAGTGTAACTTATTGGCAGCAGCGTGACCCAGAACCAGTAGCCAAAAGTGATAGAGCAAAAACATACAGACCAATGCTATCTCTTTCTTAGGAGGCTTTTCTTTACAGCAAAATGATATGGTTGCACTGTTTACAAGATCAAGGTCTCCATAACACAAATAAAGTTCTTTATAGTTCCTTCTTTACTTCCACGCTGGGCTTCTTTCTCATGTAGATAAACAGTTTCTCTGTCACTGAGCTTCCTCTCACACCAAACCTAAGCAACAACAACAACAACAAAACTTTATTTATATACCGCTCTATCTCCCCAAGGGGACTCGGAGCGGTTTACAAGTAACATAATCAATACATACAAGAAAAAAAGGCATAAACATAAAATTAACAAAACAGTATAAGCATTAAAACCACAATAGCACATATATTTTAAATAATCATGTCTGATCAAGGCAGTTTAAAAGGCCAGGCCGGGCTACTGCGATTTTAGAGGGCCCGGGAAATTAGTCTATGGCTGTACATGTCTGTACATTTCCAGGGCCTAACAAGTCAGTGACCTGGGTTGGTAGAAGAAGATATGGCCAATTTCAACAGTATTTGGGGCAGAGCTAGAACTAGTCGTTCTCAAAGGTTTGTTTAAACCACCAGGTCTTCAGGCTCTTACGAAAGGAGGGGAGGGATGGGGCCTGCCTTATTTCCTCAGGAAGGGCGTTCCAGAGGCGAGGGGCCACCACCAAGAAGGCCCTCTCTCTCGTCCCCACCAACCATGCTTGTGACAGTGGTGGGAGTGAAAGGAGGGCCTCCCCGGAAGATCTTAAAGTTCCTCACCTCTGAGGATGCTTGCCATAGATGCAGGTGAAACGTCAGGAAAAATGCCTCTAGAAAATGGCCATATAGCCCGAAAAAAACCACAAGAACTGAGATCTTAAAGTTGGCGCCGGTTCATAGAGGGAGATGCGATCGCGAAGATAAACAAGAGCTTCACACAATATCTTTTTACACACAACAGCCTTCCCACTGGAGCTTTACCTGGGGCTTCTCTCACTGAAGCCTTCTCACACCAGGCCTCTCTCACTGAGGCTTACCTCACACTGAAGCCTCTTCATACTGAGAGCAAGTAACACTGAGGCGTACTAAGCTACACGTGCTTATATATATATATATATATATATGCAACTTTTGCTGAGGCATTGCATCCATTTAACCCTTTCAGTGCTTGACTCACATTTTTGTAATTAAAAATACTGAGTTAATTTTTAATATTTTGGACAATATAGGCGTTATCACCAGAAAAGCCTAGGACAGAAGGCCACTGTAGAAAGGTGGAGAGAGACTGCAAAAATGTGCTTCTCTCTTCATATTGAAGATAGAAGCAGTTGAAAATATTAAAAATGAGAGAACGAAAAACTCATCAGTTCTTCCATCCTTTCACTCTTTAGGTGTTTGGCTTCATTGCCACAGTCGTCTACTGCGTGTACGTTTACCTCACCTTCAATGATCTGATGGCATATCTCAAACAAGGTGATTCCTCAGATGCCCCTGAGCCACGTAAATCCGAAGGTAGGTGCAGACCAGATTGGCCTCATTGCTGTTGTGGTTCAGCCTGTGATTGTACCACTGCCTGAGGTTTCAGGGGACATTGTGCCAGCATCTGAGGACTTCCAGGAGTCTGGTTCTTTCCCGACGGGACTGAAGATTCTAGGAATGCTAAGCTAGCAATGGTTTTGCAGTTGGAGATAGATTCAGAAGCTGACAGGTCTGAGGTAGATTTCTCAAGGGAACCAAGGGAACCCTGATCAGAATGTGGTAATTGCAGATATGTCTCCTGACTCCCCTGTTTCTCTGAATTAGACAGAAGAAGAGCAATTTGTAAACAAAGACAAGCAGCTGAAGTGGGTGCTGCTCTCAGCAGCTGTTAATGAGAAGGGAAGCACCATAGTTTCTTAAGTATAAATGAGGTTTGATTTGGGTTGTTCCTTAGAGGAGTCAACACCTGGGTTCAGGTTAGAAGCTCCAAGTTCCTCTCTCAAGTTTTCTCATGTGTATGGGATTCATGGACGCAAGTCTTGGGGTCTTTTGTATCTTTGGATTCATGTTATAGCATAGTAAAGCTGACTGGCACAACCTGGGGATCACAACCAGATACAGTGAAGACATCTGCCCTTGCGCTGTGCTACTCTGCTGCTGAGTATGCATGCCCAGTGCGGAACACATCTCACCACACTAAAACAGTGGATGTGGCTCTTAATGAGACATGCCGCATTATCACGGGGTGTCTGCGCCCTACACCACTGGAGAAATTACACTGCTTAGCCGGTATTGCACCACCTGACATCCGCCAGGAAGTGCAGCCAATAGTGAAAGGACCAAGGCAGAGACATCTCCAGCTCATCCCCTGTTTGGGTATCAGCCAGCACGTCAACGACTTAAATCCAGAAATAGTTTTCTAAGATCTACAGAGACACTCGCTGGAACACCTCAGCAAGCGAGAGTCCAAAAGTGGCAGGCTCAAACCCAGAACCTCAACCAATGGCTGATACCAAATGAGAGACTCCCCCCTGGGCACACAGAGACTGGGCGACTTGGAAGGCCCTGAACAGACTGCGCTCTGGCACCACGAGATGCAGAGCCAACCTCAAGAAATGGGGCCACAAAGTGGAATCCTCGACATGCGAGTGTGGAGAAGAGCAAACCACTGACCACCTGCTGCAATGCAACCTGAGCCCTGCCACATGCACAATGGAGGACCTTCTTGCAGCAACACCAGAAGCACTCCAAGTGGCCAGATACTGGTCAAAGGACATTTAATCAACCACCAAACTCACACATTTTGTATTTTCTCTGTTTGTTTGCCTTGTTCTGTTAGAAATGTAATATAACTGACTGGCTGCCCTGACACGAGAAAGAAATAGCTGTATATTTTTGTTCTTCTGGGTTGCTGTGTTTTGGAAAAGACCAGTTTTAAGATCTTGCCTGTTTTCTTGACCTATGGATCATTGCTTTTGTGTTTCTTCAAGTGCCTTGTTTTACTTGGATTATATTTTATATAGAATCATAGAATCAAAGAGTTGGAAGAGACCTCATGGGCCATCCAGTCCAGCCCCCTGCCAAGAAGCAGGAATATTGCATTCAAATCACCCCTGACAGATGGCCATCTAGCCTCTGCTTAAAAGCTTCCAAAGAAGGAGCCTCCACCACACTCCGGGGCAGAGAGTTCCACTGCTGAACAGCTCTAACAGTCAGGAAGTTCTTCCTCATGTTCAGATGGAATCTCCTTTCTTGTAGTTTGAAGCCATTGTTCCACGTCCTAGTCTCCAAGGAAGCAGAAAACAAGCTTGCTCCCTCCTCCCTGTGGCTTCCATGATCTTTTATACATGGCTATCATATCTCCTCTCAGCCTTCTCTTCTTCAGGCTAAACATGCCCAGCTCCTTAAGCCGCTCCTCATAGGGCTTGTTCTCCAGACCTTTTATCATTTTAGTCGCCCTCCTCTGGACACATTCCAGCTTGTCAATATCTCTCTTGAATTGTGGTGCCCAGAATTGGACACAATATTCCAGGTGTGGTCTAACCAAAGTAGAATAGAGGGGTAGCATTACTTCCCTAGATCTAGACTTTACTCTTTTAACTATTTTTGCTGAAGCTATTTTTATTGCTTAATAAACCGCTTTGCTTATGAATTGAGTTTTGGTGTGTGAGATTGGTTTAAAGGTGCCCGTTCAGCCCTGGCGTGCGACAGTTGCAAGCCACAGAGACAGGGCTATTGGCTGGCCTTCTGTCACGTTGTCAGGGCTCTGCCTTATTTAGGTAGAGATGAATCAAACTCGCAGTTTTAACAAACAGTTTAATTAAAACAGCACTTACTTGCTGGCTGTTTTTATAGTCCAAAATATAAAACACAAAGATATCACACAGCTACAGAATAAACAAAAACTGATAGCAAAAATAACTTCATAGTCAAAAGGGTCCAGTCCAATGGTCAAATGCCGAGAGTTCAATAAACAAAGTCCAGGGATCAAGAGTCTATACCGTAGTCAAAAGCCAGTCCAAAGGTTCAAGGTTCCAGGATTCCAAGATTACAGGAGACAGGTCAGGATACCGAAAAATCCAACAGACCTGGGGGAAAAACCAGCAGCATCCACCACCAAAATACAACAGATACTTTTCTCCCAAAGATCAGTCTCAAGGTTAGCTCCTTAAATCCAATAACACCCAGCTGCAACCCATCTCCTGCACACCTCCATCCCTAATTGCTTTCACCCATGAACTCCCACTTACAGATTACCAAACCCTCTAGAACTAAAACTCACACTAACCTTTCCATCACCAACCATCAACTGCAGAACATATGACACCTTCATTGGCCTCAGGTAGAAGACTTTGAGGATTGCCACTGCCGATGGAGAAAGTGAGGAGACTTCATCTTCTGCCTGAGATGTAATTCAATCCAGTGTGGGTGTTTTGTGTGGGCTTTGGTAACACAGTTCTAATTCTGATTTTAAGGAGACTGGAAAGTAAATGGTAAAGAAAGACGTGTTGCATAGTCTGCAGTTCACTGCATAATCTGTAGGAAGTGTTAGTATTGTTGAAGGCTTTCATGCCTGGAATCACTGGGGTGTTGTGTGGTTTCTGGGCTGTATAGCCATATTCTAGCAGCATTTTCTCCTGACATTTTGCCTGTGTCTGTGGCTGGCTGCTAGAACAAGGGCATGCAGTCCAGAAACCACACAACATCCCACTGGTAGTGCGTTGTTAACCTAGTAAGATGTGGATCCTGACTCTTACTGAGGGCTACTTGCGCCAAGACACACAGTTTCCTTCTGAACGTCACTCCTGCAGAATCCATCAGCATCCAGGCTGCATGTCTGATCCATTGGGTTCTGGGTAAATGCTGATGCTCCAGATGTTGGGCTGCTGTTATTGGCTGTGCCAGTAGGAGGTAACAGATAGTCTTGGTTTGTCGAATTGCTGGGTTGTTATAGGTTTTTTTGGGCTGTATGGCCATGTTCTAGAAACATTCTCTCCTGACGTTTCGCCTGCATCTGTGGCAAGCATCCTCAGAGGTTGTGAGGTCTTGGTTTGTACATTCATGTCCTTTTCTTTTTCAGATGATGATTCAGATGACGATTCAGACTGAAGTATGATGGGTTGCCAAGCTGTCCCAGAGAGAACCAAAGAGACACGTCCTTCCGTTTCAGTGTTTGAGGCCATTTTGCTAATACCTCTCTCACCAAGCCACTGCCAATGATATCTCAGCCTCTGAGGTGCTTTGACCTTTGCTTATGTGAGCCTCTATTTGCTCCTCAATCTACCAGCACACTTTGAAACTGCAAATTTTGCAAGTAGATTCGTATTGTATGTTGTGCCTGACCTATAACTGTATCAGGGATAGTGAATCGTTATGGGCCAGGGACCACTTACTCGCAGCAGGCAAAACACACTATTTTGGCTTGGATATCTTGACGGATCTGGTCGAACAGGCCCATCAACCCTGTAAGTCAGGCCTGGGCAAACTTGGGCCCTCCAGGTGTTTTGGACTTCAACTCCCACAATTCCTAACAGCCTCGGGCCCCTTCCTTTCCCCCCTCAGCTGCTTAAGTCCAAAACACCTAGAGCAGTGGTTCTCAACCTGTGGGTCCCCAGATGTTTTGGCCTTCAACTCCCAGAAATCATAACAGCTGGTAAATTGGCTGGGATTTCTGGGAGTTGTAGGCCAAAACACCTGGGAACCCACAGGTGGAGAACCACTGACCTAGAGGGTCCAAATTGGCCCGGGCCTGGTGTAGATGCACACTTAATCTCCAAAGCAGCCTTCTACTTCCTCAATATGCATGTTTGCCCATTCCTGGAGTGGACACATGCAACCAATAGTTGAATGGTAAGTCCCTGTGTAGGTAGATTCCATGATTCAATGGGCTTAACCATTGTTGCATCAAGGTAAAGGTAAAGGTAGTCCCCTGACATTTAGTCCAGTTATGTCTGACTCTGGGGTGTGGTGTTCATCTCCATTTCTAAGCCGAAGAGCCAGCGTTGTCCGTAGACACCTCGAAGGTCATGTGGCCGGCATGACTGCATGGAGCGCTGATACCTTCCCGCTGGAGCGGTACCTATTGATCTATTCACATTTGCATGTTTTCGAACTGCATGTTGCATCAAAGGTTGGGTTAATTGATCATTCACCAGATGCTTTCTTGCAACTGCAACAGACTAACACAGCTATCTCCCTACTCCTCAAAATTCCTAGTGGAAAGGGTGGTTAGATACCTAAAGCACCCGTCTGGTATTGTAGCTAAGCAGGGTCAAGCCTGGTTAGTCCTTCGATGGGGGAATGCTAAGGAATACCAGGTGGTGTAGGCTGTATTTCAGAGGAAGGTATTGACAAGCTACCACTGAGTATCCACTGCCTGAACAAACCCTTTGAGGTCAACAAGTGCTTTGAAGGAATGTCCCAATAGATGTTGACAGTGGATTAGATTACCTCTAATGTGCCTTCTAACTAGAACCATACAGGGAATCTTTCTAAATATACACAATATATATATTAAAAACAAACTATGTGAAGGTTAATCTGTGGAAGGACACTATGACTTGATGTCATAGTGACATATCCAGGTATATATGTCCATTGTGACAATATATGTCTTTATGAGGTCATTGTGGAGAGTTGTGCCTCCATCTTTGATGACCTTCTCTTGGCGTCACCCATCTTCTTGCTTCAAGGATACATCCAATGGTCATTTAGTTTCCAAGGAAGTGGTGGGTGCATTTGGTTGTGCTTCTAGAGCAGGTATGGGGAAACCCAGGCCCAGGGGCCCAATGCGGCTCCTTGGGCTCTTTTCTCAAGCCTTTTCTCTCACTCACTATCCTATCCTTCTTTATCTCTTTCCTCCCTTCCATCCTGCCCTCTTCCTCCCTCCTTCCCTTCCACCTTTTTCATCCTTCCTCCCACCCACCCACCTTCCCCCTCTCTTCTTCCTTCTCTTTCCTCCCTCCCCTTCATCCCTTCCTTCCGTCCCCTTCATCCCTCCATTCTTTCTTCCCTTCCTTCCTTTCATCCCTCTTTCTCCCTCCCACCTTCCTTCTCTTCCACCCTTTCATCCTTCTTTCCTCTTCCCTCCCTTCTTCCCTCATTCTCCTTCCATCCTTCCTTCCCTTTTGTCTTTTCTTCCTTCTCTTTCCTCCCTCCCTTTCATCCCTTCTTTTCTTCTTCCCTCTCTCCCTTCTCTTTTCTTCCTCCTTACCTTCCTTCCTTTCCTGCCTCCCTCTTTCTCCCTCCCTCCTCCTTTCCCTTCCATCCTTCCTTCTTTCCTCCCACCTGCCTTCCCCCACTCTCCTTCCTTCCTTCTCTTTCCTCCCTCCCCTTCATCCCTCCCTTTTTTCTGTCCTTCTCTTCGTCCCTCCCTTCATTCTTTCTTTCCTTCCCTTCCTTCCTTACACCCCTCTTTCTCCCTCCGTCCTTCCTTCTCTTCCACCCTTTCGTCCTTCCTTCCCTTTCCTCCCTCCTTCCCTCTATCTCATTTTCCTTCCATCCTTCCTTATCTTTCCTCCCTCCCTTTCCTCCCTTCATTCTGTCCTTTTTTTCCTCCCTCCCTCRCTCTTCTCTTTTCTTCCTCCTTACCTTCCTTCCTTCCTTCCTTCCCTTCRTCCCTCTTTCTCCCTCCCTCCTCCTTTCCCTTCCACCCTTCCATCCTTCCTTCTCTGGTGGGATCTTCACCAATGTATTCTTACACTTAATATTCACCATGTATGCCAATTCATTATGTATGACATTAGTTTATAGTAGTTAAAGAAATCATTAAAGACCAAAGTCCTGTTTCTGTGAATACTGCCAGCGGGTTTCTAGCAGTACATGAATGTGTTTTTCAGGAATGACTTGACTTCGACAATGCAATAACAGAAAGAATACAATGCCCCAAAGACTGGTTTCTGAGCTGGGCAACTAGAAGTCTTGTCACATTCAGAGGCAAAAGCCTTTGGGAATCTCCGACGAGTGTTTTGTATTTCTGTCTCTTTTTAAAAAGACTTTGAATGTGATTTTATAGTATTCGAACCCATGTGTCTTCAATTGAAACAATAACCGATGCATTTATGAACTGTAATGGAATAAATTCCATCGATAATGAGATTAAATGTGTAACTTTACTTCATATTTGTTTAACTTACCCAATTTGGAAGATGCTCCATAATGGATTACCCTTCTCCAGTTGGAAAGACCAGACAAACATTATGTTGAAAGGTGGTCTGTCAGGTACACAAAACATTCTGACTTGTGTAAACGTATTTTGACTATCAATGGGGAATGTCAACCACTTAATACTCGCAGATACTTCTGCGTAGGACAATTTTTCCCTCATCTGAATATATGTTGATTCTCATGGGGTCTGAAATTACTCCTGATGGCACCCAGCACACCTTTTAAGGAGCCCTTGGTGGCGCAGTGGATTAAACCCCTCTGCTGGCAGGACTGAAGATCGACAGGTTGCAGGTTTGAATCCGGGGAGAGGCGGATGAGCTCCTGCTATCAGCTCCAGCTCCTCATGCGGGGACATGAGAGAAGCCTCCCACAAGGATGATAAAAAAAACATCAAAATCATCCAGGCGTCCCCTGGTCAACGTCCTTGGAGACGGCCAATTCTTTCACACCAGGAGCGACTTCTGACACGACAAAAAAAAAAACGCACCTTTTTAGTCCATGTGGATAAGGGTTACGTGAGTCATTTTCCAAAGCAGATCCTTCAGAGATAGTGACACCTTTCCTCTCTGTTTGAATGGTTCCTGTAACCACCATTTTGCTGTGAAAGTGTGACACATGCCACAATGAAGCCACTTGTGTGCTGGATTCAAAAGATTATCCTGGTGCCAAAAATGACCAAGTGTCAATGGACTGGATCACAGGGACAGTCACAGGAGAGTGGAATATGTTAGGAAGATATACCTCATTATATCTTCAGATATACCGGAGCCCCCAGTGGCGCAGTGGGTTAAACCCCTGTGCCGGCAGGACTGAAGACCAACAGATCGCAGGTTCAAATCCGGGGAGAGGCGGATGAGCTCCCTCTATCAGCTCCAGCTCCTCATGCGGGGACATGAGAGAAGCCTCCCACAAGGATGATAAAAACATCAATTCATCCGGGACGTCCTTTCAGACGGCCAATTCTCTCACACCAGAAGTGACTTGCAGTTTCTCAAGTCGCTCCTGACACGACCAAAAAACCCTCATTCTGAGCTCAGCATTCCATGCAATTTAAAAATCTGAATGATTTCTACCTCACTATTGACTTTTGTTTGGTTGGTTGCATACTGCAAGTCGCTTCTGGTGTGAGAGAATCTCATGTCTCATGTCTCTTAATGTTTAACATTTACACAAATGATCAGCCACTGCCAGAAGGGACAGTTTCATCTATGCTGATGATCGTGCCATCACTGCTCAAGCAGGGAGCTTTGAAATAGTTGAACAGAAGCTCTCCAAATCGTTAGGTGCACTTACTGACTAGTACAGGGAAAACCAGCTGATTCCTAATCCATCTAAAATGCAGACCTATGCTTTTCACCTTAAGAACAGACAAGCATCTCGAGCTCTGAGGATTATCTGGAAAGGAATCCCATTGGAGCATTGCAGTAGACCAAAATACCTGGGAGTCACCCTGGACCATACTCTGACCTACAAGAAACACTGCTTGACTATCAAGCAAAAAGTGGGCACTAGAAACAATATCATATGCAAGCTGACTGGCACAACCTGGGGATCGGAATCCGATACAGTGAAGACATCTGCCCTTGCACTTTGCTACTCTGCTGCTGAGTATGCATGCCCGGTGTGGAATACATCTCATCATATTAAAACAGTGTATGTGGCTCTTAATGAGACATGGCACATTATCACAGGATGTCTATACGTAATACCACTGGAGAAATACTGTTTAGTTGGTATTGCACTACTGGTATCCATCGGCAAGTAGCAGCCAGCAATGGAAGGACCAAGGCATTGATATTTCCTGCCCACTCTCTGTTCGTATATCAGCCAGCATGTCAACAAGTTAAATCAAGAAACAGCTTCATAGAGTTGGAAGAGACCTCATGGGCCATCCAGTCCAACCCCCTGCCAAGAAGCAGGAATATTGCAGTCAAAGCACCCCTGACAGATGGCCATCCAGCCTCTGTTTAAAAGCTTCCAAAGAAGGAGCCTCCACCACACTCCGGGGCAGAGAGTTCCACTGCTGAACGGCTCTCACAGTCAGGAAGTTCTTCCTCATGTTCAGATGGAATCTCCTTTCTTGTAGTTTGAAGCCACTGTTCCACGTCCTAGTCTCCAGGGAAGCAGAAAACAAGCTTGCTCCCTCCTCCCTGTGGCTTCCTCTCACATATTTATACATGGCTATCATATCTCCTCTCAGCCTTCTCTTCTTCAGGCTAAACATGCCCAGCTCCTTAAGCCGCTCCTCATAGGGCTTGTTCTCCAGACCCTTGATCATTTTAGTCGCCCTCCTCTGGACACATTCCAGCTTGTCAACATCTCTCTTCAATTGTGGTGCCCAGAACTGGACACAATATTCGAGGTGTGGTCTAATGAAGGCGGAATAGAGAGGTAGCATTACTCCCTAAGAGCTACTCTCAGGAACACCT